GCTGCTCTTAACATAGCTTGACCAAATTCTATTGCACCACCACTTTTGAAGTGCAATTTGAATTTGCATTCTCCAATCCAATTGCCATTTGGTTGAGCACGGCATTTACCTTTGATGTAATTGGCACCAAATATTGGTTGTTCCACCTCAACTTCGCTCAGCGTTATGAAAGGAAAACTAAATGACTGCATTTTTTCCTTGTGATCTTTGGCATTAAAAATCATTCGATGAGTGGTCAAGTATAATCTACCATGTTTGGTACCAGTAAATTCTCCCTGTTCTTGTCCATGGAATTCCATCGTGACATTGTCGCAGAATAATAATATGCTAAAAAAACAAACATTTGATGAAGTAAATATTTTATTTATTTATATTAATTACAATGAAAAGGAACTGAGAAAGAATTTGAGATGATATTGATTCTAAAAATTTTGCAAAAGGAGCAAATGTATGACGTATATCTTTGACGTAGCATCAATATTCGGAGAAATGATTATTGATAAAAAGGAAGTTGTATTTGGAAGGTCACGACGATAACTACGTTGTAGAAACGTCACAAGAAAGACCATGTGAAACAGAAATATGATGTTAGTAAAACTTGCAGATATATCTCATAACTTACCACTCTCCGGCGTGTATTAGAACACCGCCGTTAGCGTGCGCTGTATTTAACGACATACTTTTTTAATATTGTCTCCAATACTGCTGAAATTTCTAGTAACAGTTCCTTCCTTCATCAGCTGATTCATAAGTGATAAGTATGGCGTAGTGCGCACGCGCATATATCGAGATATAATACATCTAACATATATATATCTACATATTATAGTCAGTTTGTATTTCACATAAATGCGTAACCGTCGTCCTCAGTTAAAACTTTTTTAATGATTACATAAAATATTTTGCTAAGTTAGTTAGTTAAAATTCGAACGTAGCTTATATACATATACCGAAATATGATCGCAATAGACTGATGCGATTGCTTTTGTAACAAAACGTAATTTAAATGCGTGGCATCATAATAAAATACATTTTGATTGTAATTCACGTTGATTCTCGAGATTGAAACATCACCGTGATGGCGAAATGTCCAATCAAAGTGGCAAATGTCAATCGTTACGTTCAAAATTTGCGGGAACACCGGAAAAGGAAAGACACAGATGCGCGCGCAGAAATCAATGCCGCAAATTTTCAAAGCATGCGCCAGTGTGCCGGGGACAGTCACGTCTGTACTAAGCGTAAAGAAATAAATAAGGCAGTGATCAGGTGCAATTAACCGATTGGCAAAAAGTGCGCGTTGTACGGAATCAATCGGTCCTCGCTGAGCAAAAGAGCTGTCGGAAGTCTTTCGGGAACAATGAGATCATAAGGCGGTTCTACGAGTCAATTGAGATTACTGTTTTCTTTTCGTCCTTACATACCACGTCTACCACGGCAGACATGGACGAGAATTTGAGCCGGGGCTACGTGCAGTTAGGGAAAGCTAGGGGCATGAACGAGTTCAAATTCTCCAACGGGTTCACCCATTTATCACCGCCTATTGACAAATGCAACTTCATCTACTTCGCTCTCATACTTGGCGGTATAGGATTCCTCTTGCCGTACAACAGGTCTCGCCGCAATCAGACACTATATTTCGCCGTGTGTCGGCAATCGAATGTCAAAGACCTCTGTCCTTGCAAATTTATGCTCTTCTCCTGAAAGTAGAATCGAACTTGCGGTGCACAGCACTTGCGTGCATGCTCATGTTGAATATCAAAAATTATGTACCATATATATGTACTTTATGTTTTGATATACAGTGAAACGCCTTGCGTAACGCCTGATACGTAAAATGGGATAAACCGTATACAGTAGCTACAAAAAGAAAGTGTAAAACATATACCCTTATTTTTAAACGAAGCTTTCTTTTAATACACAGATTTTTTCATATCTTATTTTTGTTATTATCAAATCCTTGTCTTCATGTAAAAATATCGCCGAATGATACGAAATTTAATATGTTTGGACCTGACTGATTAATATACAAATGCCATGATAAATAGAATGGCGTACAAATACTTTTTTCCTGTGAAGCTGTATATGCGTTTCACACTGGATTCAAGAATTTTCTTATTTATAAATTGTTATTATAAATTTAATCTTTATTTTTTTTT